GGAAGCCTTTGTTGACCGCTCCGTTATGCCTCGTGAAATGAGGTTTACCGGAGCAGTTGACAAAGCCTTCCTTTGCTGCCCGTGACGCGTCCAGACTGCCCCGCTGTGCCACCAAACAGCTGATCGGCACAGTGCGGCGCCTATTTTGATGTAAATTAAGTAGCGATTATTTAAATCGCCGCTTCATTTTCCTGTGTCTAGTAATCTCATCTAGATTGCTCCGTCGACGGAGCCATGTAGTCTAGATATGCCCTAAGAGACAAAGGCCAACATGGGGGAAAAAATTCTCCCACCTTAACTTAGTATTTTTCATGCCTTGAATTTGGCCAACACCAGGTGGACAAAGCTGTGTCGGTACCAAACCTCTCAGAGACTCTTACCTTTGCCAAAAGGATATCTCTTGTCTAGCAAAATTAATAGTGGGAAAGGAGAAAACTCCAAAGAGGCTCCTCCTCATGCTCATGTATGTGACCCTGAATTCTCTCAGTCTTTAAGGGAAAGCCTCAAGAAAGAGACTTCCTGTGGCAAAGCCAATCTGAGATTGCCCCTGCCCTGTGGCCTGTCCTACTTGGTCGGTGCCATGGGCTCTCTGTGAGGTCACCACGTCCCAATCGACTTTAGCCAATAAGATGAGGTGCTGCAAAAGTGTCCTTGTGATGTCACTGCCACACCCACCTCAATCCTGCAGGGAAAAAATCCTGCCCCTGGCCAGCCCCTTTGCATGACTGAGTTGCTCACAGGGATGAAAGTAGCTTAAATGTCTTACAGGTATTGCTGCATCACCCCCATGGGTGTGTGTGTGTTCTGATACAACAATACTTGTAAGAAATTAAGTGTGGGGTAGAGTGCAGGGGCCTCAGGGCAGCGGGTGGGGATGTGGAGGGGTTAGGGCGGGGAGGTACAGGAGTCAGGGCAGGGGGCTGAGGATGTGGGGGTGCAAGAGTCAGGGTTGGAGTGTGAGGAGGGGCTCAGGGCACAGGGCTGGAGTATGAGGGGTGCAGAAGTAAGGGCACAGTGCTGGGAGGCAGGGGGCTCAGGGCAGGGGGCTGGTGGTGTGAGGAGCTCAGGGCAGAGGGGTGCAGGAGTTGGCAGAAAAGTGGAGGCACAAGAGTAAGAGGATAAAGAGAGGCGGGGCACCGTGGGGCCAGAGGATGCGCATGGGGAGTGTGTAGGGTGGCAGGGGAGCTGGGCAATGCTGGGGCCAAGAAAGGCAGGCAGGGAGTTTTCATGGAGCCAGAAATATTCCTGGTGCTGGAGCTGCACAGGTCCGTATAACTTGCCACCTATGGTACGAACAGCATTAGAACTACAAAAAGTGAATTTTAAGTGTTTAATGAGGCAACAAACAGACCCAAACAGATTACAGGCTGCACCTCCCTGGTCTGGCACCCTTGGGACCTGACTCGTTCTGGATAAGGGATTTTGCCAGACCACAGGAGATCATTTCTGGCCTTCCTGCTGCCGGCCCCACCCTCTCCCCTGCCACCCCACCGGGCTTCCGGTCCTCCCTCTCAGCCCAGCTGGGCCGTGCACCAGGCTTCTTGGCTCCCTCCCAGCCCAGCTGGGCTACATGCCAGACTTCCTTAGCTGTGTGCCAGCCCAACTCTGCTGCGTGCCAAACTTCCAGGCTCACTTCCCCCCACCAATTTGCAGCCCAGCTGGGCTGTGTGCTGGTCTCCCAGCCCCCCTCCCTTGCAGCACACCAGGACACTCTAATCCTGGAACATCCATGGTCCTGCCAGACCAGGGATGTTGTGGATCAGAGTCCCAGTTTATAGAGGTGCAACCTGTACTAAGGAAATGAAACCAAGTACTCAAACTAAGTCCGATTCACTAAAGAAATTGGTTAATTCTTTACCCTAAATACTGTTGCAGGAAGATTACTGAAAAGCACTG